AAAAAGTGACAAGTGTTACAGTGCAGAGAGGGAAAGGATACTGCTGAGGTTAGCTAAAAAAAGCTAAATTCTATTTTAAACTGGCACTGTCTGAGGAGGAATTTTATACTTGTTAGCTAGAGCTTTCAACACAAGCAAAGGGAGGAGGGTGTTGTACAGGAAGAAGAATTAATCTGTCATCTTTGGCTTAACAAACTTTCGGGCAACTAACAACAGAGCAAACACACACAATTATATAACTGAACAACATGCACAGCACTACATTTTAAAGAAACAGTTAAGATTAAACTCCTACTTCCTACATCCTGAAGCTGTACCAACGCACAGTCTGTTTCCAGGTGTTGCAGGGAGCACACCACAAGATACTAGCCCACCTCTTGGGATCAGCTCTGCCTCTCCTAGCATAGTGCAGGGCATGCAAGTCCTAATCTCTGGTCATATTGGGCTCTGACAGCTCCCCAGAAATATGCTGTGAAGCACTGCTAGCAGGGAATGCAGTCATTACTGCTTAATTACTATTCCTTACCTGAGCAGCTTCTGAGGTGGAAGGCACTCCAAACCAAAACACAAATTTAGTAATAACGATACTGTTTCCCAGAAAATGATGAAGCAGCATGTGTTACCCACTCTCATATATATCACAACAGCAAGTAAATAGCTGATCTAGCTAATGAACCACATATTCTGTTTAGATTTCATCATCGTCAGTGTTTACTCAATATGATTATATTTGTTCTCAACAAAGACTGAATTATTTCCTGAGACGGCTGTCATGGATATTTCCTCCTCCAGTCAAGAGAGGGTAATCAAGACAGAATGCTGCTTTATCAGGGGCTGGACCGTAAAAACTCTTCCAATCCCTTTACTGGCATACATACCAGACAGAAAAGATTTCTGAATTAGACCTCACATGGGAATGGAAGTAGATAACAAGGGTTCAGCCCAAAAGTCTCCAAGTAAAAGCATTTAGGCTCATAAGAAAGGACAGCATGATTCATTACAGCACCTGAGTAAGCTGATGAAGCATATGCACTATAGGGCAACAATACTTCAGTTGGCACCCCAGAATAAGCATCTGAAGATGGTCACTGCCCTACACAGCAATGCAATCACAACTACTTTTTTCCCCCAGATTGTCACTTTGCAGGTCCGTTTACAGGCCTTTCCTGAGCATGAAAAGTAACTTGACTGCTTTTGATGCAAAATGTCTTCTCCCTGACATTTTCTTGGGAGGTATGCAAATAAATTCCTGAAGATTTTTCTGCACACAGAAAAGCTCATGTTGTGTTTAGAAGACCAGATTACAGAAACTTCACCATTTAGTAAACTGCTTATCTCCAAAAGAACCACTGTGGCCTATTACCTCAGCAGTAACTGCCAAGATACAGCAAACTGTAACAGCTTCAGAAGACAGAACATTTGCTGAAGGAGTTTGAAGTCATTTCCAGTTTTTGAAAGCAAGAGTTCTGTCAGTTCACTTGCCTTCCACAATTATTGAAAGCAGCACACTAGAGAGGGCCAAGATCATTAGCAAACCCATCTTAAAAGATCCCTTTTTAAGATAATCACTGGAAAATTTTATGACTTTTCCAAGATTATTTTAATCTTGGCTAATCTTACTTCAAGCAGATCTCCTTAAGTCCAGTTACATTCCTGAGCTCTAAAACATCTGGTGAAAACGGAAGAAGCACTTTGACTTCTTCTGAGACCCTGGTGTCAAAGGGTCAGATTATTCTCACCTGACTAATACAAGGCCACGGCAAGACTTGCTCTGCAGATTTCTTCTGACATCCTGAAGCTTTTCTGGATGCACTGCCCACCTAACACCTCACCATTTCGGGTTGGAAGATCGGCACCGCCAGCTGGATAAAGCCTTTTGGCTTTACGTGCGCTGTTTTAAAATCACCTGATCTGCTGCTTCTCCTTGGCAAAGCCTGCCGTTTGGTTAGTAAAGCGCCAGGAAGCCGATCCGCGGCGGCTAGGTGAGTTGGCGAGGGAACACCTGCACCCTTTGTTGAACCTCTAGGGAGACCTTTGCAGGACACTTACACGCAGCGGACATCGGCGCAGGTATTTAGGGATGGAAAAGCCCCAAAGGGGAGACGAACCCACAGGTTTCGGGTGCCCAAGGCACCGCCGGCGGGGAAGTCCCGGGGAGTGAGGGAAGGGCCCCGGCGGGACGCTGCCCGCAACACCGCGCCGGCGGCGGGCACCAGGTGGGCGGGGGGCAGTGGCGGCCCCGCGCCGGGTGGGGCTCCGCGGATCGGACACCGGGGATCGGACATCGCCCGGGCTGGGCCGCCGGGGTCGCCCGGAACACGGCTTCCCCGATCCGCGCCGCGGGCAGCTCCACGGCGCGGCGCCGCCCGGGCTCCGGGGGCCGGATGAGGCCGGCCCCGCCGCTTCGCGCTCCCCTCTCAGGCCTGCAAGGCTCCGCAGGCCGCAGCCCGGGCAGCCGCCCCCCGCCCGCCCGCAGCCGCCGCCGGTCACAGCCCGGGCGGGGTCCCCGCCACCCGCTCCGTCGCGCCTGCCCCGGCGCGGCCGCGCACTCACCCGCGTCCGTCCCGGGAGATCCGGCTCCTCGGCGCGGGGCGACAGCGAGGACCAGAGCAGCAGCAGCCCCAAGAAGCTGCCCGCCAGCAGCACGGCGCGCAGCAGGAAGCCCAGCTTCAGCCGCATCCTCTCGCCCGCCCTCTGCCTCCCGCCGCCGCGCACGCAGCGCCCGGCCCCGCACACCGGCCGCCTTCCGCCCCCCGCGGCGCGGCACGGCCCCGCCGCCGCTCCCCCGCCTCCCCCGGCCGCCGCTGCTCTCCGGCAGCCGCCCGCCTGCGGAGGCTGTCCTCCCGCCGCCGCACGTACAAACTTTCTTTTTTTCTTTTTTTTTTCTGTTTCTCCCTTTTTTTTTCCTCCCTCCCCCGCTCCGCCCCGGCAGGCTCCCCGCTGCGGGCTGCGCGCCTGCCTCCCCGCCGGGCGCAGCGGCTGGGGTGATGCGGAGCAGGAAGTGGCCGCCGCGGCAGCCGCGGTTCCACGTGGCCGCCCCGCACCGGGGCGGGGGCGCCTCGCCCCGGGCCGCCGCTCGCTCCTGCCCCCGCCCCGGCTGCCCCGCCGGGAGTGCGCTCCCGCGCACCTGCTGCCGTCCGCACCGCGGCTGCACCCCACCGGCACGGGGGAGGAGTGGGAGAGCTGGAGCGGGGCTTGGGCTTTCCCAGCTGGGTGGGCAGCGCTGCTCGGGCACCGATTATTAAAAATTAAGGTGCAAACGCTTAACTTGAAGGGTTGTCATAGGCGTACGGTAACACAGGCCCATTAATTGCGTGCAGCCTGGGCAGAGTAGCACTAGAAAGGCAACAGATTTTTCTTGCGGATAGCAGATTAAATACAAGATTACAGAGATGCTATCAGCCCCATAGCTTGTGTGTGTTTTGTTACTAATTTTCTGCACTAAAAGTTAGGCATCCTATTTCCTCCTTTGGAGAAATCTGACACGTGCATGCACACACACAAACATGATAATGTAAGCTCTGCACAAAGCAGAGTGATGCAAGAATAATACAATTTAATACTTTTGCCTTTTCTGTGTATTCAGTATTATCCGCTTGCTTTGATGATTTTTAGTTCTAATTCTTGCACGCACTGGAAGGATATCGGATCCAAGGATTCTGAATATTAACTTTCAATGATAAGGAGTATAGAAATGAAACAGGATATTACACCCTGAACAGGATCACTTTGGAGAAAAAAAAATCCCCACACCTAAGTGACCTTTGTAGCTGGACACACCTAAACACGGAAGTCTTTGTTTATTCGTATAACTTGTGCTATAGCACTGTGTGCTTTTTTTTCCTCCCCCATTCTGTAAGATCAAGGTATGAGACATAGACAAATGCGATGTTTAAGGCATGGGTAACAGCCCTAATCCTTACAGGTGTTTGCACAGCCTTGTGACTTTCACAGGTCCTCAGAACTGTTTTCCTCAAACCCCCTCCCTGTTTGCAGTTGCAGTAATTAGACAAACATCCCAATACAAAGGTTTAGGTGGCTGTTTTCAGGTAGGTAACAGCATCTGCACAGGGCTGGGAGGGATTGGGGTTTTTTACCGGGAAAGACATGAGTTGAGGTCCCCAACTCTGAACAGATCCCTTGGCTTCCTGACCCCGGAAGGAAAAGGCAAGCTGGGGCTTTAAACTGTGGAGCTCTGTAGGCTGTCAAAGAAGTATAAAAGTGTTTTCCCCATCTCTTGTTTCATTCCTTTCTGGAGACCTTATGGCAGCAAACGGTGCTCTTTCCTCATGTTGTTTCATTCTCCATGTTTGGGATCCCTTTTTAGTCTCCTGTGCTGTTGCTCTCAGCACATTCAAGAAGAGTAAAACAAAAAAAGAAGTTACACTTAGCACTGCATGGAGGGTACGGTAAAACTCGCTACAGCCATGGGATGTGATACCACTGCTGCTGCTTCTCAGAGCTGAGAGTGACAGGGACAGAGCTCTCTGCATGCCAAGTTGATACGATGAAAACTCACATTTGTAAGGCTGCCTGCCAAAACTGGGTTTGAGGGGTTTTTTATATGAAGGTGTATGTTCTGTTGAAACCCACAGGCAAACCACATATCCATCATTATCACAGAGAGCTGCACACTAGAAGATGACCAAGAGTTTTGTTGTTTTTGTTTTAGATACCCAAAGTCTTGCTGTCAGTGTATTCCCCCATTAGTTGTCTAAGGACAGTGGCTTCTGTACACAGCATTTTAAAAACTCCACATTTTACCCTGAAAGAGAAGAAGCTGAAGACCACTGGGAGGCAGTACGGGGCAATGGAGAGGGTGTTCATGCCAGCCAGCCCCTCTCTCTTCCAGAATCGCCAATGACAGGAGACTGGAGATGGCATCATGTTTTTGCTTGACTATTACACCTGCCTGCCCTGGTGCCTTCACAACAGGGAGAACCACCTGCTCATGTACTGGCCAGGCAGTCTGACTCCAGAAGTATTAAATTAATACTGACCTTGGAAGTAGTTTTATTTCAGTCGTATCCTCATTAAGGATATGCTGAAGTTTCAAATTCTGAGCTTACAGTTTCTCCTGTGTAGTAAAGTGCCTAAGAAGATCTGCAGAACATATTTTCACTCTTGTTGAATTTCTACCACTAAGACAGAAAATGCAAATTAAAGTTGGCTTTGAATTGCCTGCAGTAACATTCAAAACCAGTTTTCAAAGTCTTTTATGGCCTGGAGGGGAAAAGAGAGAGAGTTAAGCACAAATTTTTGCCTCTCTCAGTTACAAAATATGAGTATATATATAAATATATATATATATATATATAAAAATCATGACACTTGTACTATCCAGGCAGCACTAAAACAAGACACAATTCTGACTATTATTAGGGAGTTAATCAACCTCTTTTAGACTGATATTCAGTCATTCAAATGTTTCAAATATACTGGCAACTGTCATAATGTTTGTGTTTATATGTGGACATCTACTGCTTGTTGCACAGAAATCGTATGTTCACTTCTCCAGCTATGCCTCCAAATAAATATCCAATGGCATATAAGTCATTACAAAGTCTTGCTGCTCTTGAACCAGAGACCTGGAGGTGAGGTATCCGATTACCAATCCCCTAAGCCATGCAGTTGCCTTATTGCTGGGGATTTGGGGGATGGTGTCTGGAGCAGGGTCACTAACAAATGTCAAAATCTCATGCAGTTGCTCCTATGGGAGAAGTGTCTGGATTTGGATGTGCCTCTTAACTCTTGTCCTGAATATTTGGCCGCAATAAAACAAACTGCTTCAACACAATGTCTGAAAGGAAATTCCTATAGACTTTTGTACCTATCAAGATGAAAGTAATGTATTACAAAGTTCATAACACAACAAGCTGCTGTAAAGGCTTGACTGTACATAACCCCCCCATTTTACTCATCTGAGGGAGATTTTTCTGTCAAAACATAGGTGGCCTTTGTAAAATCTACAAGTCAGAGACCACCTTTTCTTTCTGCTCAGTGCGGTGAGCACAAAACACAAGTGGGTTTTTTCCCAAGTAAACAGGTTTGAAATTAGCGTTGGAGTACTGGTTTGGGCTAGGATAGAGTTTATCTTCATAGTAGCTGTATGGGGATACATTTTGGATTTGTGCTGGAAACAATGTTGATAACACCGGGATGTTTTGGTTGTTCCTGAGCTGTGCTTTCAGAGTCAAGGCCTCTGCCGCTCCTCACCCCACCCCATAAGCAAGCAGTCTGTATGTGCACAAGGAGCTGGTAGGGGGCACAGTTGGGACAGCTGATCCCAACTGACCAAAGGGATATTCCATACCATATGGTGTCATGCTCAGCATATGAAGCTGGGGGAAGAAGGAGGAAGAGGGGATATTTGGAGTGATGATATTTGTCTTTCCAAGTCACTGTTACACGTGATGGAGCCCTTTTCTTCTGGGGATGGCTGAACACCTGCCTGCCCAAGGGAAGAGGTAAATGTTGCTTTGCTTTGCTTGTGTGCATGACTTTACTTATTTAACTGTCTTTATCTTGACCCAAAGGTTTTCTCACTTTCACCCTTCCAGTTCTTTCTCCCATCCTGCTGGGATTGAGTGAGTGAGAGGTGATGTGGTGCTTAGTTGACAGCTGGGGTTAAACCATGACAAATGGATTGTAGACTTCAAGAAATTTCACTTTCCTTAGATGTTTCCAGATATAACTACCGACACTTTATTTAGTGCAGTATTTCACTACGTGATATACTCTAGCCTTCATATAACAGCAAACTTGGTCATGCTTTGATTAAAGAAAGCATTGGAAAATGCCAGCTGGCAGACAGTAACTTGCTTTCCTAAACTGAATACTCTCAACACAAGCAACACCTCTGCTCTAGTGAAACCTTTCAGCTCCATGTAATTCCTTTTCCCATCCTTTCCAACCTCCCCGGCTTCACTTTCTTCACTTTTAAGATCATTTGCATGTAGATAGCCATCTATGAACAAAGCTTATGCTGTTTTCCATATTGCTACTTTGGACCTAGGGTGAGCTGGCCATTGACACATATGGAAAACCTGTGTAGTGTATTACCCCTACAGCAGATCTATTAGTGCTGCATACTGAAGTCTTGGGATGTCCATGTGGAATCCAAGACATACCTTCCCTAGTTTGCATCTAAGGGATTGCACACTCAGTGTGTGGCTGGAGAAGCCTTGCCAGATCTACCTTAATTAAACAGGCTTATACTCCCTTCTGACACCATTCGCAGCATTGAGGGGTTTGCAGTAAGATTCTAGATTAATGAGGTGGTCGCTGCTTAGAATAATCCAGAAGGGCAGAGTTTGGCATACGTTACGATGAAGATAAATCTATGCCCTAAATATTTACAATGTGTGTATATTTAACCTCAGAGTTGATAAAAAGGAACTGAAGTACAGCATTTTAAATTCTTCCTAATTTCTAAGATTGTTTTAAAGTACTTTAATTCAAGTAAGTGCCTCTCAGTAGTATCTAATACACGTTTTTGCAACTTAGACTAGGATGTGCTTAATCTTCATTGTTTAGTGTTCATGATTTCCAGTCCTCAGTACCATTTTTCCTGTAATTCTCAACTATCCTTCTTTTTTTAAGATAGAGGTTTAGCCATGCATATCCTACAAAAAATTTCTTCTTCAGTATTTCAGGATTTGAATGGATGCTTCTGGCAGAGTGCTGTTAGCCTCCTTTGCTTTTCCTGTCACTTTTATGAAGAACATGTTATGAAGTTCCTGTCATTACATTTAGCCCCCATACTCCTGTCATGCCTACTTAGTCTGTTTTTCTCCTACAGTATCACCTCTAGCTCTTCTTCTCTTTTCCCACACAGCAACAGTAAGCAAGCTCATTATTTTGTACAGATCTGTATGCTACCAATGTTCTGAAGACTGGAATGTAAGAATACTTTTTATTCCAGCTGCCCTTTCTGTTAATGAGTACCAATCAATGTTTTTGAACTACGTTGTATTGTTAATACTGCTTTTGTCTAAAGAAATTTAACTTCTTTTGCACTTACAAGTCCTCAAAATATCCATACTCAGATGAGTGTTGACAATCCTTGACAGATTTAGATCTCATTAAAATAGTGGATGGGATAGTTATGTGGGTGTTTCATTTAAGTTTGAAAAGAATTGGAATGATTCTAAGCACAGTTATGCCATTTAAAAAATAAAATATGTATTTAAATTACTTTTCAAATAAACGCTCACCTGTATTTTGAGCCAGACGTAAGTGTGAGTAGTAATATATCTCAGGTCCAGAAAATTTCCCTTTCCAAGGCACCACATTTCTGAGCACTTCAAACAGAAATTAACTTGCATCATTTCCTGAATCTAGGGCAGAGAAAATTGAAATAGGTTGCTGCAATTTCTGTTATGCTGAAAAAATGAACAGTGTAAACACCCACATTTCAGATGCTGATGTACTTTTCTAATAGACTTTTCAAATATAGTAAATAAGTGGAGTTAGTTTGGTGAAATTATCAGTCTGAACAAGATCCGCAGTACCTTTGAGGGGAAAAATGAAAAAATTTACAACTGGAAATTAATTAGATTTTCTTATTTTTTTGGAATTTTGCTATTTAGTGATGAACTGTTGACAGTTTAGCAAATAACTGTCAACTTGGGTATTATCAATTCAGTATCATTTATCAGCAACAAATCTTCAATACATTTAACAGATTTTTCTTCAGTATATATTCTGCTATGTTGTTCAAAATGAAACAAAACCTTACTACTGAAGATAAAAAACATTTGTAAAGCACTAGATGAGTTAAATAAAGCCAACATGTCAAATCTGCACAAGAAGAAGACCTATGAAGTTTCATAGACAAATTTAAAAAAGTAGTCAAAATTTGTTATACAATGTAACAAATAAGTGTAGGTGTGGATGTACAACGGTTAATAGATGCTAAAACTGCAGAGTTTTTTTGGTCCTTAGCTTAATCACAGGGTGAGTAAAATACCGTTTCAGAAAGTTTGGCCTGCCTCATTAGTACAGAAAAGGTCAATTAATAATTATTGGGAAAAATGGTCCAGTAAATAGATTTATAAAATAGCATTGAAATAATAGAAACTGAATAGCATCACAGAAATCTGCTGCACTCAGATTTTCAAACTGGGGTCCCTAGATGCTTGGGGAATGGGAATGGTGTCTGCAACAGAGAATGACAGCAAGACTACTGCCACTAGTCATATAAAGTTTGTGGTATGTATCACAAACTGATAACTGGGAGTTAAGAGTCTTAGTAGCAATAAATCATAAAAGAACTGTTAGGCAGCTCTGAGCTTTCTTAATTCTTTGCAGATTTCATAAGCTGTGAGTTTGATGTTATTGGTGGCTGGAAACAAACACCACGATGTTGTGCAGCCTCTTTTCTTAGTGAGCTGCCATTTGGAGAGATTATTTCTATTATGTAGTGTCTGACACAAAGTTGTATTGATTAGTAATTCAATTAAATGATTCTATTATAAAATGCATGTTTTCTGGGAATTGCAGGCAATAGCAGCTGTTGTATCATAACACTGCACACATTCAAGTTTTCTATTAAATGCAATCATAATAAAAAAGATTTCATAAGGGCTTTAGTACACCACATAGATGCATCATTTTGTGGAAGCTTCTCACTTTTCTCAGGTCCAAAGTTACACACAGATATCCCTACTTGATATGAACTAAATGATTTCCAACTTGTACAGTTTTAGCTCAGGTATCAATATAGATATTTCTTTTATTTTTTTATTATGTTTTCCATTTTTTGCCAAAACTGAAAGCTAAACCAACCAACCAACCAAAAGCTAAAAAAAACCAGCCCCCTCCCCCCCCAAAAAACAACCCCCCAAAACCCTCAAATCTAAGCAACTTAAGGGAAAAAATTATTAGACCTGTCAAGAAGACTTTGAAATAAAGGTGAAGGACTGTAATAAAGTCATCATCTTGGCAAGCTGAACTCCACTGCTTTTTAGTCGTCTGTGACAAGTAAGAGTGACAATGGCAGAATCTCATCCATCTTCAAATCTTTGCAGGTTTCCAGATCTCTCAGCTCACTGCCATTCAACTTCCTTTTTCTAATGTATAATGCTGTGCTGGTTTTGGCTGGGGTAGAGTTAATTTTCTTTGCAGTGGCTGGTATGGGACTGTGTTTTGGAATTGTGCTGAACACAGGGTTGGTAATATAGAGACTTTTTTTATTGCTGAGCAATACTTACACAGAACCACGTACTGCCACACTGGTGAGGAGACTGGGGTGTATGGGAAATTGGAAGGAGACACACTCAGGACAAGTGACCCAAACTGACCAAAGGGATATTCCATACCATATGATATCATGTTCAGTATATAAAGTGGGGGGGGAGAAGAAGGAAGGGGGGACATTTTGAGTGATGGTGTTTGTCTTCCAAGTAACCATTACACGTGATGGAGCTCTACTCTCCTGGAGATGGTGGAAGTGAGAGAGAACCACAATTTGGTAAAGCATGGGAATTCACAGCCAAACTTTTGTAGACTCTGCCTAACTGCCTGAAAAACCTGGTTGACTTCTTACTAACCTACAAGATACAGGAAGCAAACATGTCTTCAAAACATTTTAGATTTAAATAAGCAGGTTACAATATAAATGAAAATTAATGTAATAATTTGCCTTGCTTTCAGGTTTATATCCGAACAGTCTTTCCAAAATTGCCCTTCTAAGTCTTTGGTGTCAGGGCTGATTAGCAGAAAGCAGCAGATAGAGGCACTGTTCCTCAAAACATTTAGGTCAGCTCTGATACTCTCTGGCATGTATCTAGGCCACATCTAATTAATCCCAGAATATTCCATCACTGCTAGATTACCTCTGTCAGCTTCTCCCTCAGAAACCTGGCAGCAAAGATTTTTTTACCTTAGGTGAGGAATTTCCCTTTTCTAAAGGTAAATGGGAGTGGTTTGTTTCATCGTCTAACTACATAATGTTTATGCAACAATTTACAGAGCCCTTAGGATGTAAAGTATGTAGTAGAGGTGAATACCTTCACTTGAAATTACTGGAATGTTGCCACAGATTTAAACAGAGCCAAGATTTCACCCACGATTGTGTTTAGGATAAAATTTACCAGCTTTCTCAGCTCTAAGTATGATGATGCTGTTCAAAAGAATTACATATTTTTTCTTTTTCTAAGCCAAATGTGAATACAAAGTGTTTGATCAAAGTAAGATCAGAAAATACAGAAGATCTGTAAAATAAAATAAGAATTCCATCTAAAAGCCTATTGGAGATCAGAAAAAGTTAAGGAACTAAATTGTATTTGTCCACTTTAGGCTGCAGTCTACAGTCTGCCACAGTCATTACTGGAATTACATAAACAATTTGCAAAGACACTCAGCATCTCCAGGTGATAGTTAAGCCAAGATTCAACTAGCACTGTGGAGCAGCAGATATGCAATTGGTGACCACTAAAAAATAACCTGTACTTACTGAACTAAGGATACGCTGCATCCATCTTCTGTGTATCACAATAGTGAAGCACAGAATCACAGTACTAAAAATAGAGCATTAATTAGCAATGCTAAATTTATATGCAATTATGCAAAGTGCTGAGTGTCTTGAACAGTACCATATTTGTATCTTGAGGGCAAAGTATCGTGACTTTTGAAATTAATGCTCTATAAATATGTAATCATCTAGTATGCAAAAAGCCAATTGATTTTTTCTTATACCTGATGGTAAAGTACTAGATGATAAGACAACTTACTACTTGCAGAACCAGAAATACCTGTTATTGGAGATCTATTAATATGCACTTCAAAACACAGGCCAAGAACAGCCTAGACATTTTTGCAGTGGGTGAGGTGTGTTTTTTAACTCCGCCCTCCACTTTTCAAATTATATCCTTACAATCTCCTTTAGTTAAACACCAAAAGGATTTTCCCTGCATTTCATACAGCACTGTTGTCAAAACCTTCATTTAAATGCTTCTACTAATACCTTCAGAATTATGTAATATTACAAATGTAAATAAGATGCAGATTTTTCACATACTTGTTTCTTTCTTATGCGAGTTGATTACTAAAGCAGGAAATGCTATTCATAAATGCTCACTACCAACACACTAAAAAAAAAAAATCCATATTGAAAGACTTCTTTTTTTTTTAACATCACTTGAGAAATAGTCAAATCAGTATCAATCATGAATTTTGCCTGTGTTGAGATTTACCTGTCCTTCAAATGTGCAGCTGATACCTGCATTAACATGTTTCACATCTGTGTTTGAGAAGTCATCTTATGGTTTTGCTCATATCAGAAGAAGAAAAGCAGATTTTATGAGATGCAGGATGAGTCCACCTGCAGAAAAGTACATATAGGTGTAGGATGAGTCCACCTGCAGAAGAAGTACATATAGGTGTATTGGATTCCATAGCCAATGCTGTGAAAGTGACAAATCCCACCGTCTTGCACTTAATGTCTTAGGATGAACTCACAGATAGGTAAAAAAATAATGTTTTGACAGGTGAAAAATGCACACAGGCTGGTGATGTGATACTAAAAACATTCTAAGTTAGTGTAAGCCCTCACAACTCACATTGCTATTCCACCAAGGTCCCCTACCACTATAGTGGGCTTCACCATAGGAGAGGAACTCTCACTTTTTGTTGTGGCCTACATTTTTGGCTGTATCTGAGAGTCCTATAAGCATATGTGGCAGGTAGGCTCTGCCTAAATTTTGGTCATGAAGCTCAATTCTGAACTGAAGGATGAAGTAGATTTATACAAGTGTTTTTAACAGTGATGGGCTTCCTGATGCTATGCATTAAGTAAAATAGCAAAATAATCATAATGATGCAGGGCCGAGTACCATTACTGAGAGATTATGTCATATTTGTCCTATTGCTTTAGAGATCTTACCCCTTCTTAGGCTTCATCACTCAAACACTGTGCAAACTGTGGTTTGGTGGTGGTAGCAAGATGAACATACCAAAGTGATCTCTAATCTTGCCATTTCCCATCATGTTCAATGCTGACTAGGCTACTAAATTTTCACCACCTCTTTTTATGATCAGCCTCTCAAACTCATCAGTTTCAAGTAGCTGAGCAAAAGTTACAGTTGTTGCAGTTACCTATAATCTTTGTGGGAGCATCTTGATGAAAGAGAGAGAAAAAGAAAGAGAGGAGAGAAAAAGGTGGGCTATTTGTGTGGATTATACAGGCTCTGAATTTGGAGTGTTACTGCCCTGTATCAACAGAAAAACACAACATTATTATTAAGAAGTGTATCAGTCATGTTAATTTAAGAATTCCCTACATTCAAGATTATGGATTTTAGATTCTGTAAGGCATAATTTTCCTTATAACAC